TGATGTATATTAAAATCTCCAGGTTTTGACCATTTCGCTCCCTGCAAGCTCCAATATGCCACTGGAAATTTTGAATAACCCTGTGGCATGTTCTGGGTCGATTCTTTGGACGTCCTGTTTTAACGCTTCGACTGTTTGTTGGTTGTTTCCGTAGACGTTAAACTAGGAAGTCCCGCCTCTTAAATAACCTAATAGTGTTGATAGGGGCTTTAAACCCATATAATTTCCCCATTTTTTTCTGTCTCTCAAAATACAAAACAAAACGAGAGGTAATAACTGAAGGGGCTCAAGTTAAGAGAAATGCAGTGGCCATTCATTTGTAAAATTTCTGCTTAGATTCCATAGTGCGTTCTCCAAAACTTTCTTACAACCACGCAAGGGGTCCCATCCCACTGGAACCAGGCCTTTACAACATAACACTTTTCCCCAAACTTCTACAAAACGTTCTCAGCACGGTGAGATATCCATCTGATGTGACTGTCGAGGTTTTTCCGCCCCTGTCCTGGCACCAAAACATGCCGATCTCGCCCTGTGGCTGAACATTGTTTAGAAGTAAAATTTTGCGTTTTACCCAATCTTGGTTGAAATTTTTAAACTATGATATTTCTGAAAAGTAGGGCTGGGCAATGAGTCGCTTTAGCAAAATCTGAATAACATGTTAGTGCACCTCTTCGGTAAATAATATGTTATGAACCGATTCGGCAAATGGGTTAGAACCACTTTGACCTACGGGTTAGCATCAGTTCAACGAATGGAGGCTCCCACTTCGATAAACGGGTCAGGAAAGAGAGTTAAAGAGTCTGAATTCGGATCATGTACTTATTGAGGATCATCCGATTTTCCGGATATTTATCCGGATTTTGCCCACCTCTACTGAAAAGTAATAATTTATTTTCTTCATATTTACAAACTTGCTGATCTTATGGTTGAATTTTATTTCTGTGAAGTTTGGTTGAAATTAGTGTGACATGACGAATATCGAGTTATTACCCTTTATGTGTGTCCATTTTTTTTTAGACACCCTGTATTTTTCTCCTCGACAACAAGTGCCTTCTTGGACATTTAGACCGCAGGTAAGCTTTAAGGGCTGGAGGGGCACCTGAGGTCTATTTTGGCTATTGTAAGAAATCAACAGTTCAAAAAGTGTATTGTGGATCGGTTGCTAAGGAAACGGCAGCCATATTGGATTTTGTAAACCATTTTATTCCCTTATTTAATAACTAATTCACTTCTAATTGGGCATGGTAGCAGTAAATATGTAGCTCTTACATTGGTTAGTTGAATTTTTGATATATGCTTTAGTTTCTATTTTATGACACTTACAATTGGGTTGCTGCTAAAAAAAAAGTGAAAAAATGGAAAATTCATGCTTTCTAAGCCCATGACTAAAAAACTGCTCCATTAATCAAAAAATCAACCAGCCAAAATTCTGAACTACGTGTTCTGGGTATCCTGTGAAAGTTACATTAAAATTGAACAAGAAACAGAGCAAGAATGGGATAATGTGTAAAACAGATAGAATTGTGAGAAAACAGCCGATAAAGGTAAGAAAAGGCTGGAAAACACGTACGTGCTTTCGCAGAAAAATCTGAAAAAAACACAGCTTTAGATTGTAGCAAAGCTTACATGCGTTTCTAGATATTGTTCAGGAAATGACCAGATACTATAATATGTAATAACCCCAATTTGCATAATTTAACCCCCAAAATATGATTTCTAGGTGCCCCACCAGCCCTTAAGGACCTCAAGGGGGCAGGCTGGTTTGTCGTGCTTGTCAGGCCAACCTGGGCAGAATGGGATACAGAGATCAAACAGAAAGATGAAGATACTCGATAGAATTCTTTCCCGCATCAGCTCTTGTCGATTGCTTGCAATGGGGAGGAGCCTATCCATTACGTCACCATTGATACTCTCTCTCTCTCTCTCTCTCTCTATAT